ATGTAGAGTATTCAGTGCGTTATGTGCATTGCTCCTGGTTGCATCCACCTCTCTGGTTTGCTCTATCCTTGTGTTTCTAATCCAGCTCAGAACAGATACATTCTGTAAAAAAAAAAACAGGAGCTTCTGAGAATTGTTCATCATTTTTATGTGGCAAAGTGATATTAAATGTCTTTGAGTTGTTGTGAGTAGAGGCCTAACTCTGTCTCAGAGAGTGGATGCAGGATGTTAATGCATGTTATATCTGGCCATATTGAAAACCTGGCCTATACAGAAGGTCTTAAATTTGTGAGTGGCCTTTTCCTCTGAATCACAACCTCAGGAGACGGGACATCTGAGATTGATGCAGACAACTCCTTTGTTCAGATAAAGGAGCCTGAATCTCTTGTACCATACTGATAAAATGAGACCAAGAGCTGTTAAACTGCCTGTATCAACTGAGCATAAGGATTTAGGCATTATAGTAAAATGATATTCACATTTGCTTTACAGTAGTTTAACAGCAGAAGTCACAGCCAGGCAGGATTAGAAAAACAACATCTAATGACGTTGCAACTTCTCAAATCATGACTGAAGGATCGTTATGGATGCAGGATGTGTCCACGCTCATTGAATTTATTGTTACTGTTTATAATTTGGGCTCCAGGTGGAGGATTAAGTGTTTTTAAGCAGGATCTTTAATGATACATGGGTATTGGTTGTTCTATATGCGTGCATGTGCATGTATATGCGTGTTCACACATCATTCTTCAGTTGTGAAAAGATATTTTTAATTCGCATCTGTACGGGTTGGGTGGAGAAATTCCGGCTTACCACCTACATTACACTCCCTATTTGTTTTTATTTTGTATGTATCAGCATCTAAAAGATTTTTTCTCTAAAAAGAGTTTTATTTTCCTTTAACAGAATACAGTCCTCAGTTTGTCACTCATGCCATGAAAATCTCAGTATTATTTCCCACTTTACTAAACTACCAAAACAAGCCACCTTTGAGCTTAACATATCACAGAGTAGTTGAGGGTTTGAAGGTTTGTTTGACACTGACGAGTTCCAAAAGATGAATTAATACTGTGGCTTAGCAGTTTTAAATAATTTAATCAGACAATCTATAAATGTTGTGCGCTTCATATATATCATATTTCCAGGATTAAAAAGGTGCCAAGTCAGCATCAGCAGAGTTATAAAAGGAGGTAATGAAAGCTGGTGAGCTGTTGTGAGTCTCAGTTTTTGTCAGCGCTCTCTTTGGAAAAGCCGACAAAATTCCCTTTGAAGAAAAAAAAAGGGAGAAATCGAGGTCAAACACAGTTTAAGAGAGAGAAGAGGGTGGGAAAGGGTTTTCCTGCAGTGTAGCAGAGGACTGCATTTTAGTTTCAGCATCCTTGACAGAAGCAGGAACAGCGAACATTGAAAGAAAAGGGAATATTGGAGTCAGTGTTTAATGCAAGGGAGAGCCAGGTGGAAAAGCCCCAGAAGGTCATTTGAATTAGGACAGAGAAGGTCGGACGAAGGCAGGAGGGCAGAATAAAATATGGAGGTGGAGGAAGCAGTGGAAAGAGTGAGGAATGAGTCAGGTGGAGGAGAAGAGGACCAGATGGAGACAGAGAGAGAGGAAGGGTAGAGAGACTGTGCCAAGCAGGGATATCACGAAAGGAGACCAAGACACTTGCAGAGAGCAGAATGGAGACTGACACAAATTGATGGTCCAAAACATTAAGAGGCTGGAAGCGGAGCAGGCTCCAGAGAGGAATAAGCCAACTCCAATTTCATCTTTATGAATGAGCGAACAGGCAGAGAGGGAGCTATCCAAGGAACACAGGAGAGGAATAATGAAATGATTCCTCTGATTGTGCTGTCTTATCACAGGGATTATAATGAATCAGCTGGGGAGAGTAGGTCACACAGCAGATGAAAATTTGATGAGGATCCAAGATTGAGTGTCTGTGAATGATTAGTCAATGCAAATCAATCAACATTAATTACAGATACAATAGTCAAAAGTCAGACAAAGTGAGACCAAACATTGCTGCACCTGCACATGCACCTACTGAGCATATCAGTGAAAGACTGCACACAAATCTCAATGTAACAAAACAACACAAATATGATGCACAGGTTGAGAGTAAAATCTACACCGGAGACAGATTTGTAGGACTTGTGATCATGCTCATAGTTCTGAGATAAGATACCAAAACAAAAGTCACATCTGGTCGCTCAGAGTGATAAAACAATGCCTTAAAACAGACTAAGAGAAGTGACACTGATGATACAGATTGTGTGTCAGGACAGCGGGAAATCAAACCAATCAAGTAAAATCCACGTGTCAGGGGCTCCAATATCACCTTACTCCGCTGATAATGAGGAGCCTTTTTTTTCTTTTTTTCTTTCAAGCAAGTATCAGTAGATGACTCTGAATGATGCAGATGCTGATATAGTCTACAGAATACTAGGCTGCTGTGAAGTATAGTAAAAATACAAGGTTTTGAGCAGCTGATGTGCAGACTTGTTTTTCAGGGGTTCCTCAGTGCACCAAGAATAAATATAAGGATTTAATCAAAGTGTCACAGTTGAATTGAATAAATAAATAAATAAATAACTAAAGCTGTTTAATCTGATCAACATCCACAAACAACAGTGAGATTGGTAGCTAAAGGTGAAACTGTGTAGTCAGTTTTCTGCACATGGTGATGTTTTCTTGGTGGTGGAAAGCATGAGAAAGGAATCCCCTGATTCTGAATCATGATACTGCAGGCCAGCAGTTTGAATGATGAATGAGATCTGTCCTGTCAGATCTGAGCTTCTTAACTCCACTCATCCATCATCAGGGTGGACATGCTTTAATCAACTTGTGACATACATGCTATGATCACCACAGCAACAAGGTTTATATGAACCTATAGAAGTGAGTTTTTTGTGTTATTTTTGTTGATTATTTTATATGTTGTTGATATTTTAAAGTGAGTTTAGTCAGCATTACTGTCTAACATGACGCCAGATGGAATGTGTCACAGTATTATGTCGCATAAATCCACTGCATACACACACACACAAGCAGATTTAAAACGTTGCAGTTTTCGTTTCATCCACTTTAGTGAAGAGCAGAAAAGAACATCTAAAAAAAGAGTTAAATGTTAGGTAACATTGTGGCATTACAAGTTCTTATATTACAATGTAATAGGTACAGTGTTATAGTTTCTGCTGTTATCCATTTTTCTACACCAAATTATAGTGTGTCATCATTATATCATTATAACTGAAGATATCCTCAGCAGGCAAAAAAGCCCAGCGCAGTATGTTTCCAATTCTCACCAGGAATGAGGCTAAACTTGAGCTCTGTGTTCTGTAGGTTGACGTGCTGCTGTGAAGTGACAGCAGGAGAGATGGTGCAGTGCTGTTTCTGCCCTTCACTACTGTAGTCTCTGTGGTGCTTAACATCATTACTGCCCTCCTGTCACCACAGCAACCGGCCTGGCTACATCCTCAGCAGTACTTTTGTTTAGGCATTTATTGACTCTGTGTGTGTGTGTGTGTGTGTGTGTGTGTGTGTGTGTGTGTGTGTGTGTGTGTTGTTGGGTGCTTGTTGATGTAAATGTATAGCACACACAGCAGAGAGTCAATCACAGCTATCCTCCTGTCAATAATAAAAAAAAAAATATATATATATATATCAGACAATCAACTTTATTAACACACCTCTCTATCACCTTTGTCTCTCTTCTTCTTCTAGTTCCACTATGCCTTCAGTGTTCCTCAGGACACGGCCACATGCCTGTACTGACTGAAGGTTTAATAACACTAAAAGGTTCACCACCCCCACACCTCTCTCTTCTCTCCCTCAGTAACCTCACTCATTACTGAAATGATCAAATCTTGAGCCTGAGAAACAACAGTGTGAGTGTCACAAACATCATTGTCCAAAAAATAAATTTTCTCCACACAAGTATTGAAGTTAACAGGGTAAATGAGCAAAACCACAATGAGAAGTTATTTCATGTAGTTTTATGGTAAATTTACTTTCCTCAGGAGTTTTATATCATGACAGTGAATCAGCAGAAACTCAGAGTGCTCTGATGTATCTCTCAGAGATGTATCATTTCACAGAGTTGAATAATAAATGTTAAAGCAGGTTTTGAATCTGTGCAGCTGAAAGCAGTGCACTGTGCTCTGCATTTAGTGTTGTATACACCTATGTATTCTATATTGTACATCATGAAAAGATAATGCATATATCATGTTACAGTAATAATGCACTGCCGTGTACAACACCAGTGGTGAAAAATAAAGAAACACATGTACTAAGTGTATTTACAAGTACTTCAGAGTATTTACATTTTCTCCTAATTTATATTTCTGTTCTACTACATTTTAACTAATTTTGATTTTAATTATAAATAATTATAATTAATATAAATATGAATAGTTATATTATAATGATAATGATAATAATTACATTTTGATTAATTGACTGTTATTATTATTATTACTAATTATCTATCTATCTATCTATCTATCTGTCTGTCTATTTTGTTATATTTCATACTTCATAGTCTCAACTTTATCCATTAGTTACTAGTAACTTTGCAGATAAAGATTTTATCTACCAAACATATGATGAACTTCTAAAATATATTCTAAAAACAGTTCAAGGCTACTTACGCATTAATTGGCTGAGCGTTAACAATCCAATAATATAATAAATCATAATTTAACACTCACAAGGGACATTTGTCTGCATAACAACCACTTTTACAGTACATTTAAGTTTGTGTTTTTATTTAAGTAGCTTTTTAGAGTATTGAGTATTGTCACAACATTGTACTGGTAGTGATATGATTTCTTCAGAATGTGTAACTGTTATTGTAACTGTAATCTAACACTTACCTTACATCACAACATCCTGGTAAAAGTCACGTGGCAGCAGTAATTATCATTTGTTTGTTAAACACACCACAACCAAAGTCATTGTTTGCATAATAATTTATTCACATATTATGTTTCTTCACATACTATATATTATTATTGCTGCAGCTCTGGAGCCTTTCAGTTATTCACTTTCAATATTCCCACAATGGGAATCTATGATATCTCTTTATATTTTTCATCTTCATGCATGCTGAGTATTACATTTCACAGGAGCAGGATGCAAATAAATAAAACAGTCTCTTTTTAAGTACATGTCATAATCTATCCATTCTATTAATGCTTCAGTAACATGCCTTTTTCAAAGTCCATAAGGGGAAAACACTTTTCGGAACATATACTCTCCATTAGAGGGTGAAGGCATAACAAAGAGCACATTAATTATACATATTGTTAAAGCTGGCAATCTATGATAAATCTTCATTACCACCCAAACCCCTGTTCCCCATCCACGTGAAGCCCATCTACACCGCACAGGGAAAAGGCTAAGTGTAAGTATTACATTTCATCTATGTACAGTAACTTTGAAATATGGCACCAAATCTGCTTGTGAAAAAAAGCTTGAGGTTACACGTTAAAATATTTGTGACTACAATACTTTTCCTGTTTAATTGAAAAAATCTTAATGTAACTCCATTCCTGCCCTAAGACAGTGGTCACACTTTACAAGCTAAAGTGGAAACCCTGGCACACATTTCAGTGGGTTCTGAGAGTAAACAGCATACCTCGCAGGCATTAGGAGCCCCGCAGTGCATAACACAGTGTTGAAAAGAAACTGTAACTCGTCTTTAATGCACCATTTCTCACTTTGGGCAAAGCTCCAGAGCGAGGTCAGTCTGTGGTCTGACTGGCACCTAATGCAACAAACAATATGAAGAATAGTGACATTTTTTAAGAAAAAGCCTGGTACACTGAAATACAAATACTGTGTTCCAGTTTATGCTCAGTGTTTCTTAGAACATGTTTAAAAAGGTGCTTGTTTGTCAGGCAAGTGGCTTCACTCAGACTATGGACAATGAGAAATAACACTATCTTTCTCTCAGTAGTTCAGATTAGTTTAGCATTCAATTTTCTGTCTCAAAGTCAGAGATTGGCTTTTTTTTCCCACACACACATGCGCATGCATGCACACGCTTAAGCTCTTGCATATGCGCACAGCTGGAAACCGAGGGGATTATTTCTGACCTACAGCAAAGGCAAATAATGAAAAAATTCCGATAATTCTATCTCAGACTATCTTTATAGTATTTTAATTTAATTATTAGTAATTGCTCAGTTTTATCTGTTGGGTTCGTTGAAGGCACCTAGTGTCACCTAGGCAGAGCACAACTGTCCAGTGTGTAAGCTTTAGGTGTAAGCTTTGTTACAGCAACACAGTTGCCTGTTCAGGAAGGTGATTCTTCTCTCTTTAAGTGTCAAAGTCTCTACTTTGTGAATTGATGCTTCACACACAGTCTGTCTATGCTCCTGAATAATAATGCAGTGGTGAGTCTTGTGCCCTAATGATCGGGGGTTCTGGGCCATGGAAAAGCTCTTCTCCAAAATTTGAGAGGTCCTTGAGCCCCCAGGCAGAGAAGCCTCTGTCAGACGTAGGCTGATTCACTAGACTGGGTCCTGCCCAGGTTGGGGGCCTGGGACAGGTGTGAAACATCCTTCTTGCGCACTTCACAGATGGACTTCCTTCGGGCCTGCACCCCTCGGATGGCGGTCTTTATCTTCCTCCATCCAAGGTGGTTGAGCTCAGCCAGGTTAAGCAGCACACAAATGCCGCTTACTGCAAACATAAAGACCAGAAACACGGTCTTTTCTGTGGGACGAGACACGTAACACTCCACCTCCTTCACACACGGGTAGCGATCACACTCAAACATCCCTGGTACATTGAAGCCATACAGGAAGTACTGGCCGGCCAAAAAGCCGATCTCCAGCGCATTGCGGAACACCACCTGGATGACGTAGAAACGTGAGATGCCTTCCTGCCGTCGCACTTTAGCACTCTTGTGTGTTTGAGGGAGTCCTCGGGGTCCATTAGGGATCTCCTTGACCTCCAGGCAGTCATGATCCTCCTTGCTGCTGTCAGGATGCACCAGGATGCCATTGATGTTGCGAGAATGGAGCTTGCGAGCATGGTGGTCATGATGGCGGCCATGGTGACCGTGACCGTGGTGATCCATGTAAGGATGCAGGAGAGAGTAGCTTCGGTCTCGTGCTTTAGCAGACTGGTGAACAGAATATGTGATGAAGCACAGGCTTGGCGTGCACACCAAGATGATCTGAAAGACCCAGTAGCGGATGTGTGAGATGGGGAAGGCCTTGTCGTAACAAGCCTGGTTGCAGCCGGGCTGCATGGTGTTACAGATGAACATGATTTGCTCATCCTCATACACCTTCTCCCCCACTATGCCTACTATCAGGATACGGAAAATCACCACCACAGTCAGCAGGATCCTGCAGAGAGACAGAGGGAGAAGGAAGGGCAGCGAGGGGAGGGGGCGAAAGGGAGAAAGACAGGGTCAGTTAATGAGTAGAAAATATACAGAGGTTCAGGAAATATCTGGGTATAATACTGACAATGTAATGATTGTCTTGGTTCAGTATAATCTAATTGGTGATTGTTGAGGATTGGCTTTTTCAACACTAAAGCAACAGAATAACATTACGTTCACCTTGTATTTGAAAAGCATTTCAGAGCAAAGGAAGGACCTTTGTCAGACCTAACTATGTCCATGTATATGTGTAAGTGTATGGGTATGTGCATGCATGAATGTGTTTGCTTGTGCTATCACTCCGCTGCCGTGACAAACAGTACCATTGGGTAGTGGAGTTGCGCTCCAGATAACATGCACACATGAGCTCACTAATCATAAAAGACTGTAACAGGAGGGGATGTCAGAGGAGGAAGGTGATGTCACACTCATCTTCACTGCTGGTCTTAAATGGAGCACCACATTCATTGGTATGAGTGTGTCACTGCACATACATGCTTGAACAGTGATTGCTATCCATTGATTTAGGGAACAGTTTTGTCAAATGCATTGGTAGTATTTTTCCGATAATATCAATTCCTGCCCTTCATCGTACTCTATCATATATCTCTTCGCTATTGCTAAGCTATTTAATAAATAGTAAACTGCTGTACAAATTACCTCTTTTCACTGTTTCTAACCCACTTGATGTCCAAGCGGGTTAGAAACAGTGGAGGATGGCACTCTGTTTAATGATGAGTGTCACAGCTGCAGAACTGTTAGGGGTGCATGTTTCTCAAGAGCTTAGATAGCAAGAAAGTCAGTCCAGCCAAATCTGCAAAGATGGAGGCCGCTCCTGCTTCAAGGGTCGTAATATGGATGTCAGTTATAATCAACTCAATGCCGAACCATACGGGTCGTGTCTTCTAAAAACCTTGGGGACTTCCCATTGAGAATCATTAGTGCATTGCTGCAGTAATAGAAAGCTGTGTCCACGGGCCAGTGGATGTAGAGAGCATTGCAGCTGCTTTTCACGGCCTCTGAGAGACTGGTGTGCTGTAGTGTTATCTTCTGGTGTCGATCCAGCATGGGCACTGCGGAGGAGGACAGAGGCTTTGGGGCTGCACTGTCAGCTCTTTATAATGAGCAAGGAAAGCCTGCATATCATGGGGCTCCCCGGTATTTATGCCACAATGCAGTGGATGTGCATGCTCCCTGCATGGGGGAGCCAATTACTTAGAACACACTTGTTTCCAAGCACAAGAGGGCCACCCAAGGCAAATAAAGGACACAGATAGATGGGAGCTGGCCCCAGGTGGATTAGAACAACTTTGTTAAATGACAGCTACGTATGGCAAAAGCCTTTAATAGAGGTGATGTTAGGTGATTCCTCTGCATTTTAAATATGTACATGAAAAATTGGTCTTTGTTCTGTTGTTTTTATCTTCATGTCAAATGAGACTCCATAGTGTATCTTTTAATGAGGACTCAAAAATGCCCACACCTGACTTCCATGGCCAGTTACCACAGCAACCAGCACATTAATGGAAGGTGAGGTTCTGCGAACGAGTGCAGGGAGAGAGGAGGGTTGGTAGACAGAAGAAATGTCTAAAAAGTTTTTTCATTCCTTGGGGAGTGAAAAAATAAATGTCTTTAAATGAGGCGATCAATGCGGAAGACAGGTCTGAGGTAAGAGGTAAAGCAGAGGAACATGTGTTAGTGCGAAACAGACTTAAAATAGAGCAGTGTGCCGCTGCAGGACTGTTCCTGCTCCACCTGCGAGTGCACACCCGTGTGTGTTTTTGTGTGAGACAGACAGACACGAGGACACAGAGACAAAGAGGGAGAGTCAGCCATGTGTATGACATGTGCAAAATGGCAAACGTGTCCGGCCGTCTGTGCTCGGAGCAGCTGCAAGCGGACACGCTACACTGACTTTCACTGGGTTTGGAAAATCAGCAAATATAAAGCTTCTCTGCACCTTTGGTCTTCCAGAAGTTAAATGCAGGTCGTGTATGTAATTTAGGTAAAGATATTCAGTCACTCTCTGATCCTTTGCTCTGAGCCATGTCTATCTCCCTTCATTGGACCTTTTGACAGCAGTGGATTTGAACTGAGGGCTGTTATTGGCTCTCCGCACCACAAGAAGACATTTGCGGTATGCTGAGTATGCTCACTGAGACAGAAATCTGTGGTCGATGCTGCACATTTATATTCAAATATGTGTTTTAATAACATAGGAAATATGACACTGGCTGAATATGAAAATGGTTAGCGTCCGTTTGAATCTGTGGTGATGAATGCTGATTTACAACAGTGTAACAGGCGATAGAGCAACAACAACATGCATTACAACATGTCTGCATTTACTTTATGCTTTTATTCAAGGTCTGCCTTTTCTCATGCCAGTGATTATTACTACACCTTAATAGTATTAACTAAATGTCACTAAGTCTGCCTGCTATCCACATCTCTGTGTAATGACACAAGCTCATAGACTAAGACAGCCTTTCATAGTAAAAAAATGTGTGTGTAATTAAAATTCTCTAACATTCAGACCTAACAGATTGTTGTAATTTGCTTTTTTTTTATCATTAATAGCTGTTATGGAACCTCTGCAAAGTAAAAATGCAATACCATTTTGCAATAATAGCTATTCTTTATGTTCTGTGCAGACTGGTGACTCTCATTACTAGTGGACAAATTCTATCCCTCATCCTAATATATACTATTCACCAGGCTGTACTGCAGGCTTGTTGCAGTAGCAGTGTGCACACCCAGAGTACAGTTCATTTCATTTTAACCATTTCATTTTTGTATTTGTTTTGTACATTTTAAACTGTCCTTCCTCCAAAACACACAAATAAATAAATGGATGAATAAATAAAATGATGCCTATAAAAGTTTAAAAATCTTAAGTGATAATCAATTAAATATTATCATAGAAAAATTGAAGGTTCTAAAGAATATGGTTTCAGTATTTATGCACACAAATACTAAAAATTAAATAAAATTACAATACAGTCTATTTACATGTCAAGCGTTTTCATCCAATCTCATTTTTGTTCCTTTTTCATTTAAAGTCTTTGTAGGGCACTGTAAATCACTAAAAACATAATTAATTCACAGTTTTAAAATGTCTTTCTAAAAATGTTTTATGATCTACAGACATCAGTGAGATGCTGTGTGAAACACCCACATCAGCATTTTCACTTGGTTTTCTCAGCTTGTCTCTCCATGATATATGAATAAGGTTATGATACTTTACATGCAACATGCTCAGTGTATTCACCAGACCAACTGGGAACGTGTGGCATGTGAACTGAAGGCAAGAGGACTGAACCTGTGTCTCTTCCCTATTGCAAGTTTTTAATGCACAGCTTCACAGAGATCAAAAGCATCTGGCCATCATGTGTTTATTACTATGAAGCTGCCCTGAAAAGCTGAGAATTTTGTTGTGATGGTTCCTGTCAATACAAGGACAAGTTTACAAAGTTAATCATAAATATAATAACTCAAATGTCTGTCTTGTAATTTGTTTAAATGGTTATGACAGACCGTGTGGGACTAACAACAGATCCAGGCTGCTAACAAGAACAAACAAGCAGTTTATGGATAACCACTCTTAAATCTTACAACAGCCTTGCATAGGTCCACTTCGTGAGATGTATTTACCGAGTTACCATTGACCACCTAAAAGCACAAACCTAGTAAAATCGACTTGGTATATGTGATAATTTTTCTAAATGCATGAGGTATGGAGGACAGATTGAATGTAGATCTAGATCAAATGGCCAACTGGCACACAAAGGATTTTGGGATAATATAGATAAACCTTTTTGCTTCCTACTGAAATACGACATATCTTGTGACTGAAATTTTGCTCAGTGCAGGTTTCACCACCTGCCAACAATAGTGATCTTAATCAGACAGTTATATACTTTTGGTTGTATAATGCCTCCACAATAACAACTTTAACACACTTATGGATTTTCCTTAGCTAGGGAACTTTTTCAAAGTACTGTATTGCAGATATCAGTCTGTACTTGTTTGTTGAGCAGTTTCATGTCGTTAAAAAAAAAAAAATTCCAAGACATTGCAAGTATTGAGTGTTGTGCTGTTTGTGTTTGTGAGCATCTGTGTGTGTATTTGTATGTATGTGTATGCGTGTACTCTACTGCTGGATAACAGGATAATCAGCACAGGGCGTATTGCTGCATTAGCAGAAAGTGGTGGACGAAGCTTATCTGCAAACATCAGTGTTTTTAAGTTCTGCAGAGTAACAAGCCAATACTGTACATTAGAGCAGATTGGGGGCAGGACAGCTCCGAGGTATAAACCTGCAGAATATTTAATAATCTCCATAAATGATGAAAACGATTTTAGAATTTTTAGTGTCTCAAGCCTGAGGGGCTGAATATGAAAATAAAGCCATTTGCTGAGTCGATTCAAAAAGGACAACATGAAGAAGATGCAGGCACTAAACCACTGCTCTTTCTATCAAATGGTTCCTAAAAGTCCTTTAAGTAGGTGGTAAATTGTCTCCCACATCAGTCACCACTCATCACCTCATTTAGCTGCCTGCTTCCTCGAGAGCCTCCTCTCTGTTTTTGAGACTTTCTAAATCCCTAACACTGAGCCAGAGATTTAATGAGATTTGAAAGAAAATGAATCTGTCTGCAGCACTGAATTGGGCTCACGTGTGACCCTTTCACTTTCTTATGCTGCATCACTGACAGCTAGCGAATTTCATAAAGTGCAAAGACCAACAGCAGCTCATGGACATCTAACAAGGAAGGAAATAAAGTTTAACGTCGTGGTTCTTCACTTCTGCGTAACTACGTAGGCAGCTGACTGACCTGTAAGACTGTGTGTATAGTGTAACGGTAGCTGCTCTTCAGCTGGTGTGTCGGCTGGACATGCAGGCTTTGTCTTTCCCAGAGGTTTTCACACACTCACACACACACACACACACACACACAC